TTCACTGTGGAACACCTGGACACATTGCCCGAAATTGTCCAAATCGCGCAAATGTTCCCTACTATGCACAAGGATGGCAGAACGCGCCAAGAGGGAGATTTTCCAAAAGAAACCCCTCAAGGTCACGTTCAGACAATGGCGACTAGAATGCCACGAAGGGCAAGAGTTCAACTCCCAAGGCCAAGAAATCAACTCCCAAGGGCAAGAAGGGAATGTCGGCCCAGAAGCCAATTTCAAGAAATGCTCCAACGAAACCAAAACCGGCTAGGTCAAAGTCATCTCAACAGCAGACCTCAAGTTCAAAATCAAGTGCCGAGGCACCCATCCACTCGAAAAAGAAATGGGTTAAACCCGACTACAGATGGGTACCAAAGGTTCAATCTCCCAAATCATCTAATGCGTCTAATATTTCTTCATCTTCTGTTTGTGATAAACAGGATATGTCATGGGAGAGAGTTCCTTGCACAGATGATAAAGGTCAACCCAGTTTCAAAAAGGACTGGGTTCCAAAGACCAACTAATCCCGCTCTATGTCGGAGCAGCTATGGAGGCATATCATCAGACTTCTGTTTGTTGGTAGTGGTTGTTCCAGGCACATGATAGGGGACATCTCTCAACTGTACAACATTCAGAACTTTGCTTGAGAGTATGTGTCCTTTGCGGGAAAGGAAGTAAGGAAGGAGATGATCACAAATGGGGTTATGTGCTTAATGACATGAAGAATTTTTGGATCTGTTCTGAGATTATGCTTGCTGTTCTCAGACCTTCTGGATGGAAATTCAATCGGTGACCTATGGTTTGATTTTTCTTCTCGATACTCCTGAGTTTATCTTACACTGTTTCATTTCAAAGACATTTTTCTTTAATTTCCTTATATGTCTTTCTTTAGTAGGTTATTTTGGGAAGTGATATGAACTATAGTGCTAAAGGGAAATTTATGATGCGTGTAATGCACTAAAGCCGAATTGTCTAGACTCTGTATTCAATGTGCTGGTATGCACAAAGGATTCAAAAGGACTAGACTCAGTTTGAAAAATTGAAAGGACTTGACTAATATGAACTTAGATAGTTTCATTTGGACTGACCATACGATGCTCGGGTAGATTGAGTAGTGAGATAAACATGGGAGCCTGCGAGATACACTAAAAGTTAATTATCTAGAACTGTGGTTGAACATTTCCTTGATGTATGGACTCATGTCCTTAATTCCGGTATTGATAGGGCAACTGGGGGGATCTGATAAAGTAGGTTTGTAGGAAATTATTTTCTTTCTTTCTATCTGTCAGTCATATGTTGCTTCCTTTGCGTGATTGGAACATATCCGACCTGGAATGCAACATATGCAACTCTATCTCTATGCATTTCCATATCTATGAAATTCTTTCTATCTGTTAGCCATATGTTGTTCCCTCCGCGTGATCGGAAGATCCGACCTGGGACACAACATATGCACTCTACTATCTCTCTAAACCCATATCTATGTTAGTCATATGTTGTTCCCTCAGTGTGATTGGAAGACATCCGACCTGGGATACAACATATGCACTTCTATATCTGACTTCTTTCTTAATGATTGAATACTCACCTAAATTAAGGAGTTCTTTGGAAGTTCTTGATTACCGGGGTATATCGGGAAGTGGGAAACATGTTCTAGTTCATCTAAAATTGAACCATTTAATAGGTTGTCTGTAGATCTTGCTGCTTAATTTAAGTGGACAACAATATCCTTGGTCGTCGTCAGCTAAATGTCCATTTAGGAATATATATATATATATATATATATATATATATATATATATATCACAATGACTTGTCACTTATAATCTGTCCAAATTGTCAACATCCTTTGTGTTTAAGTTGACCACAATACCGGTGATTGACCAGATCTAGACATGCAGGCGTGTGTTGATAAACGATATTGGATTGCTTGACAACTTTGATCCCAAATATTTTTGTTTTTGTTAAATTTGTTTATAGTTTTCCTCTATGCACAAATTTAGGGGGAGAATTAAAAAAAAATTCAAAAATCAAACAAAAATCAGAAAATTTTAAAAAAAAAATTCAAAAATCAAACAAAAATCAGAAAAATTAAAAAAATCCAAAAATAGTGTTATTTCTGTTTTATTTTTTGTTCAGAAAATCAAAAATCCAAAAATATTTTTATTTCTGTTTTATTTTTTCAGAAAATATAAAAAATCCAAAAATATTGTGTGCTAAGTTTTCTTTTAGTTTTGTTTTGTCTTGAAAAGTGAATTCAGATGTAGATGAGACTCATGGAGACTGTATCGAAAATTTCTGAGCCAAAGCTTCATCCGTGATCATCGACGAATTCTCATTTGAAGGAGCAATAAATGAAGACTATTCTTTCAACATTCAATCCTTCAACCCCAGAAGCAAGGTGAAGCTACACTTGAAGATTATGTGACAGATTGCATTGAAGCCTCCTCAATCAATTTGTTGCTATCTATGAACCTGCTGAAGTGATCCAGAAGATTAGATCTCTCTGTTGTTCTCTCTGAAGATTCTCAAGCTGAAAGCACTATCTTTCAAGAATCTTTTCAAGAAGCCTCCTCACCCAACGTGCGTTCAATGCCAAATTCTAAAGAAAAGCCCAACTGCTCAAGATGAAGTCATTTATTGAAGATTCATTAAGTTCGTCTTGAAGTTGTGAAGAAATCGAAGATAAACGCTGAAGCCAAGCTCCAAGTGAAGATTGACAAGAAAAGCCAGCTACTTTTTAGGGGGAGCTTGTTGGGTCAATTAGAAAAGAAAGCTATAAACCAAGGGGGAGATTGTTGGGTCAAAATATTGGTTTATACTTTGCTTTTCTAGGCAATTGGTTTTTATGTAATGTAATATATGTTTGCGGTTGTGTTTACGGTCGTGAACTGGTTCACGATCGTGAACCTGTTCACGACCCATGTTCCCCATATACATATAAATAGATGTTAGGTGGGTGAGGAGTGGTTGATGAACACGTGAGAGCATATTGTAGAGAGAGGAAAGAGAAGAGAGGAGCTTAAGTGTGTGTAAGTTGTGTGTGAATCTTGTATTTGGATCTACATTCTAATCAAATCATACAAGAGTCATCATCTTCTTCTTCTCCTTTTTCTTCATTAGATCTGGCATCATCCGTTTGATTGGGATTCCGCACCATCAAACGGATCTGATTGATACACAAGCAGATTTGGGACTTACAGTATTTTATTACTATTTGAGTAAACATATGTGTATAATTGATATATATAGCGAAGTATAATACTTTTAGTAAGTTCAGTCGAAATATAAAATAAAGTATTAAAAGATGAATTAATGAGTGACTATGGTTGAGATATATAGTTGTATATTAATATAGGAGTTAAGGAGATAATATTTGTAAGAAATATATTAAAATATTGTTATACAAACTGATGAGTTAGTACAATTAAGAATTAAAGAAATAGAGAGGGTATGAGAGTAAAGAGAGTTTACTAATGTAAAGAGATAGTGTAAGTATATAGTATAGAGATAGAGCGAGAGTGATTAAAAGAGACAGAAATAGTGTACGTATAGAGAGAGGGAGAGTGTGAGTATAAAGATAGAGAAAGAGAAAGAGAGAGAGAGGGAGAGATAGTATGTGTGTGTATGTGTAGAGAGAGTATGATTATACATATAGAGAGAGAATGAGATAGTGTGAGTATAGAGAAAGAGAAATATCAAGAGTAATAGTATAGAGAGGGGAGAGAGAAAGAGATAAATAAATAGAGATAAAATGCGAATGAGTATAAAGAGAAAATACGAATATAAAGAATTACATGTGTAAAGAGAGAAAGACAAGGAGAGAGAAAGACAGGGAGAAAGAAAGAGAAAGGGAATGAGTATAGAGAGATTAAATAGAATAAGTATAAAAATAGTAGAGAGATAAAGGGAGAAAGAGAGAGAGAGAGAGAGAGAGAGAGATAGATAGATTAAGTGTAAAAAGAGAGTATGATGAGTTAAGTTATGAGTAAATTACGAATCTTAATTGGTAAACGAGTTTCGAGTAACTATAAAACTTGAGATTAGTGTATTTATATGTCATAATTATTATGTGTATCATCGTTAAGGATTACTCGCTCGACTATTTGTAGCTAATAGGTTTTATTGATGTGTGTTTTGCAGGTAATTTTATTTAAGAATTTAAGATCGAAGAAGGGAGATGGTGATGCCTGACTCGGATCATTCACTACTAGAAAAACAGCCTTTAATGACGTGCAAACAATGACACGCAGTGATTTACGATACGCAAAAGCGTGCGACCTAAAAATAATGTCATCTCTTATAAAATTTGAAGGATAGAGGACACGCACTTGTGTGTGCCCTAAAATTAGTGTCCAAAAAAACACGGAGGGCGCATATGATAAAATGTGTGTCGTGTGCGCACGTCGCTTTATATATTTTTTTCATAAACACGCGTTTTAGAAGCTCGCGGGGGGAAATGAAATTCCAAAAGTTTGAAAAGCCGCCATGCTCTCCACTACCTTCTTTCAATCGTTCTTCTCTCTCTCTCTCTCTATCACAATCAAATACAAAAAAAAAAAAAACCTTCAATCGGAGAGCCACGATGTCTCTCTCACCATCACTACTCTTTTCTCCCACAACGACATCACACCATCACCAAATCTTTGATCTCCGACCGATGTCTCCACCCATTCTCTGCCCCCGCTCTAATTCGCTCAATCAAATATCCAAAAAAACAAACCACGATGCGCTTCTCCTTTCTCCCATACCAGTCTGCAGAAATCAAGGAGTCTCGTGCCTAAAATTCTATATAGGGCCACAAAATCGACTATTGTTGGAAGTAGGGTTCCGGTTCTTAGTGAAATCGAAGGTTTTTTGGTCACCAGGCCATGAAATTGAAATCAAAGGGGTACAGTTGTTGGAACCACGACTATTTTTGGAACTAGGGTTTCGGTTCATAAACCCTCCATCTACTTCTCTCGATCTTCAGTTCCTCAAGTACTTTCTCAGCCTCTCAATCAATGGAAGAGCTATATCACAACTACAAATTTAGAGTGATTTCCATACCAAGTAGAACAGCAGCTCCATTACAGTCAAGGTCTCGAAACTCCATGGTCAATCACCATCAACATTCTGCTTCTTTATTTGTTCCAGAGGTTCGTCTTCCTTTATTACGAGTTTTATAACCTTTTTAATCGAACTCGATTAGCCCTAGATACCTAATGTTATCTTTTGCGTTGTTTCTTCTGCTCCATTCTTCTTGAAACCTCCCCACACTCTCATGTCAAATTCGACACTTTTGTCGAAACATAATTTGTGATTTCGAGTTGGAAATCAACAGAAAAATGTCTTTGTTATCAGATTTGAATCTCATTTTCTCACCAAATATTTACCAAATTCCATTTAATTGATCGGATGTCTTTTTCCCTCTTTACACTTCGATCGACAAACCAGGTCACCTAAAATCACCGGTTATCTTTTTCCTTTCTCAAAATTGATCGCACCTCCAAGAACCGCAAGTATTGTTAAACTTTTGACAGGCATAATAGGGAAGATGAGAGATTATCAACTTGCTGGGTTAAATTGGATGATAAGACTATATGACAATGGTATAAATGGAATTCTTGCAGATGAGATGGTATGCCAATAATCTTTATCCTTATCATCACTTCAAAATTAAATCAACTCACTTGATAACAAATATGTGTTTTTATTATCATTTCAGGGGCTTGGAAAAAATCTACAAACCATCTCATTACTTGGTTATTTGCATGAATTTAGAGGAATAACTGGACCCCAAATGGTTGTGGCTCCTAAGACTACACTTGTTAACTGGATGAATGAAATTAAACGTTTTTGCCCAATATTGCGTGTTGTAAAGTTTCTTGGTAATCCAGACGAAAGGGTATGCTTTTAAATTTTGATTTTAGTTATTTTAAAACTAGTTTTTATACACTTGTAAACTATTAACACCTGATGTTTACAGAAATACATACGTGAAGAGCTACTTGTTGCTGGAAAGTTTGATGTATGTGTCACCAGTTTTGAAATGGCTATTAAAGAGAAGACTACCTTACGTCGATTTAGCTAGCGTTATATCATAATTGATGAAGCTCATAGAATTCAGAATGAGAATTCTCTTCTTTCAAAGACCATGAGGATTTACAATACCAATTATCGTCTCCTTATCACTGGCACACCAATTCAGGTCTAAAGCTTTTGCATTTTCCTTACTTACTTCTGTATGTTTGGATTTTTATGTTGATCAATGTTTTTTTTGGGTGTTTACACAGAACAACCTTCATGAGCTTTGGGCACTGCTGAACTTTTTGCTACCTGAGATTTTTAGTTCTTCTGAAACCTTTGATGAGTGGTTTCAAATTTCTGGTGAAAATGATCAGGAAGAGGTTGTTCAACAGCTTCACAAGGTATGTTGGTGCTTGATAAGAAAAAAAAAGCTTGAAAGCACATTTATATGTACAATGCGATAATAAGAAAAAGAAAATGAAAATACAATGCTATGAATATATAAAATGTTAGTGAGCTGCTATTATTGACAAATAGTTAAAAGTACATTGCTGTTTATTGCATCAAGTTTTCGATATCATTCTTTAATGTGTCTTATTAATTTTTCTGCTATCTCTATGTTTAGGTGCTAAAACCTTTTCTTCTAAGAAGATTGAAGTCAGATGTTAAGAAAGGTTTACCTCCTAAAAAAGAAACCATTCTCAAGGTTGGAATGTCTCAAATGCAAAAACAGTATTACAAGGCCTTACTACAAAAAGTTCTTGAGGTTGTGAATGATGGAGTTGAGAGAAAGCGCCTGTTGAATATTGTCATGCAACTCAGAAAATGCTGCTATCATCCATATCTATTTCAAGGAGTTGAACCTGGTCCTCCTTATACTACTGTTGACCATCTTGTAACAAATGCAGGTGAACCCCTAAACTTCTTCCATGTATCTAAAATGGTCCCTCGTAGTTTGGATACGATCAAGTATTACAAATTTTATGCTGTATTTTGAAGAAATGGAAACTCTTGCATATAACCCTTTTGGTAAAATTGAAGTGTCTTATTATACCTGATGCTCACCATATGTATTTACTGTTATAATCACAGGAAAAATGGTGCTTCTGGACAAGTTGCTTCCAAAATTGAAGGAACGTGATTCAAGGGTGTTAATATTCTCACAGGTTCATACTTTTAACATTTATATTTAGTATTGGTGTAGTGAAGTATATTTGTTATTATATTAAAATAAATTGTGGTATACTTATGCTATTATAGATGACAAGGCTGCTGGACATTCTAGAAAATTAATTGATGTTTCGTGGATATTTATATTGTCGTATTGATGGAAACACTGGAGGTGAAGATCGTGATGCCTCCATTGATGCTTTTAATAAGCCAGGAAGTGAAAAGTTTGTGTTTTTATTATCAACAAGAGCTGGAGGGCTTGGTATCAATCTTGCCACTACAAATATTGTCATTTTGTATGACAGTGACCGGTAAGACATGGCTTTTTCTTTATAAAAAAATTGGTGCTTTGGTTTAATTGAATATACATTTTATTTTGCAGGAATCCACAAGTGGATTTTCAAGCTCGGGATCATGCTCATAGCATTGGGCAGAAAAAAGAAGTTCAAGTGTTCCGATTTTGTACTGAGGTTCCTTTATAGCTTCTTTCCTTTCCATTTGATTGATAGCTGAAATGATTGTTTACTAATTTTAATTGATTGTAAACATAAACAGTACACTATAGAGGAGAAAGTCATTGAAAGAGCTTATAAAAAGCTTGCACTTGATGCTTTGGTTATTCAACAAGGATGTTTAGCTGAGCAAAAGAGTAAGCATTTCTTCATATCACCTTTTTACTAGTTTCCATTACTTCTAAATAACATGTCATCTTTTTTTTTGGCATTTGTAAACAAAGATGAGCTGCTGGTGAGGTTTGGTGCTATGGTATTCAGTTCAAAGGATAGTACAATCACAGATGAAGATATCGATAGAATCATTGCTAAGGGAGAAGAGGCAACTACTGAACTTGATGCCAAGATGAAAAAATTCATAGAAGATGCAATCAAGTTCAAAATGGACAACAGTGTGTACATTTAATTTTTATGCATCTTCATTTTTACTTTCTTTATTGTATTCTAACTTCTAATGGATTACATATGCAGCTGCTGATTTGTATGATTTTGATGATGACAAGGTATTCAGTTGTTCTCTTGTCCTATGATTATGTTGTATTACTATGTTGTGTCATGCTCATAACTTCTTGATGATTGTGTGTTTTAATTTATGAAGGATGAGAATAAGGTTGACTTTAAGAAGATTGTGAGTGATAACTGGGTGGAGCCTCCAAAAAGAGAGAGGAAGCGCAAGTAATTATTGATTTTTTTCATCAACATAATTGCTTCTTCTTTGTATGGCTAGTTCTCCTATCTTGACCATGGAGTAAGCAAGTCGTCTCTTCTGTCAAAGGTTAGAATCACGAATTACAATCAAGACATGTGATTAGTTGTATATGTTGAACTGTAGATTATTTGACATTTTTGCAACGGGTGTTAGCAGTGACTGTGAGATTCATTCAAAAGGATGCAGAGGAGAAGAAAACATCATTCAATCCCATACCGTATTATTTAATATTGTATAACATAGATTGATGATGCTTGAAGCCTTTTTTGAATACTAATTTGTTGATGATGAAAACATGTATCATGTGGAAACAGAAGAAGCATAACAATAAGAAGTAGAAACAAGAAGGTGTTCCTTAATAGCAATGTAGTATTAGGTTATATAGTTAGGGAAAACCTCTTAATAGCAATGTACAATTAGACCCCCCTTAATACCAATGTATTACAATTTTTTGACATCATGTTATTGGATGAAATTGATTGTTTTGGTATATATTTGTTTCCATATTTTTGTATTATGCGTAAATGAGTATCGTAAAGCCGTGTCATAAATGTATATCATAAATAGTTGTTGAAGTTTATGACACGCAAATGCGTGTCATCTTCTTTTATGATAGGGGCTTTAATGATACGCAATGCATGTCCTACACGCGCGTCGTAAGGTTACGACACGCAAATGCGTGTCATCTTCCTTTATGACAGGTCCTTCCTTGACACGCAATGCATGTCGTAAACGCACGTCGTAAATGTGTGTCGTAATTGCACGTCGTAAATGTGCGTTGTAAATAGACGAAGCGCAAAAGCGTGTTGTATCTCGTTATGACAGGGCCTTCCTTGACGCACATTTGCGCGTCGTCTGAGCGTTTTACGACACGCCTTGCGCGTCGTAAAAGGCTGTTTTTCTAGTAGTGATTGCATTTTAATTTTCTTTGAACCGATCATGTTGATAATTACTTATGCTGGATTATAAATAATAAGTGAATTTTTTTAGGTGTACCTTGTGTTAAAATGTCGGTTGTTACAAGTTGGTAGCAAAGTCGTAGTTTATGTGAATTAGGTATCTAGTATTAGATTTGTAAGCTTAAACCAATTAGTAGAGAAGAGGAGTATAAGTTAACTTAACTATACTATTATAAGTTAGTTAACTATTATATGTAACTAGAGAATGTTGGGGTGTTTATACCTTAATATTTATTGAATGATATTATGAATGTGAGAGCTTAGTAATAAGAGTGAGAGTTTTAAATATTACTATAATAAGAGTTAGATGAGACACGATTAATAATATATATATAATAAGTAAAAACGTATAAATACAACGCAAATATCAACACGACCGACCAGGGGAGGCCCCCATAACAAGAGTTAATTAGATGAGACACGATTCATCAACACGCTGATAGATTTTCAACTAGCTCCCGGCCTATAATCGTTAAATATTAAGTGAGTGGGAGAGATATGTATAGATCTATATGGGATTAACACTTCCAGCTGTGGTTACTAGCTACAACCAAACAACAAGTTGAAGCAGGCATAACTTTCTAAACACATAACGACGTCCAATGAAGCGTCGTGGTTTTCAGGATCAACAGTTATAACTCGATTATAGGAGCTCATCGTAACTTTGTTAAACTAAAACTAAACTATCATATACTGCTAAGTCATGTAGTGATATTATACTCAACTTAAGGAAACGAGTTCCGAATACACTCATTTAAACTAACTATCCACTACCCTTGAGGAACGCTTTGGGATGTAGTACCTACAATACGATAGAAATGTTAGTAGAATATCATCCGGATATCAACCATGAATTATAGTGACGAATTAAAAGATACATCTTATATCTAAATTTTGATCAGATCTAGTCATTAAACTATCTGGATCCTACTACCAAAACACTAGGAAATACGCTAACACACTAACATAGGTTGAGAACACAATGAGGGCTAACTTCAACACTGTATTTTCATGCTTACCAAACCTATGAACTCACCAACATTACATTGAACCTATCAAAATCACATGCATTCCTAGGTTACCACAGGAAATCGAAGATCAATCAATAGGAGGACCTGTACGGATTCATGGTGTAACAAAATCGTAAGGTGAAAACCCGATCCATGAGCCAACATCCTTGAACGTCGCACCGCTCGGTGTTTCCGCCACCAGGCCGAGGGTGTGAGATCAGTAAATATAGTTGTGTTTATAAGATTAAGCATAATTCTAATACTTTGAAAATATTCAAAGAGTAACGGAACGAATAGAAGAATCTATTAAGCAGAAAGATAAAAGATTCTTCAATCTGAAAAGAAATGAGAGTACTTTAGTATCATGTTTTATGATCATCTTAGTGATTGTGGAATTATATCACAATTGATCCTCGAAGAACATCTTATTGCAATTGTATGACTAAGAAGAAGAATTGAACATTGTTGGAAATTGTTCGATCATAAGATGAGTCATACGTTGTTCCCAATCATGTTTTAGAGTTATGCTCTAGTAACTCTAAATCATATCTTCAAATTCGTTTCAATCTAAGAAGGTTGATAACGCCTCGTAATATGCGGAGTAATAATGCTTTCTCGCTCAAGCACATTAAGAATTGGATTTATGATGTTTTTTCGAAAGTCGAGAAATAAAAGATGAATTGAATCCAATTATGAAGAGTGTTATCATGTCGGGAATCTGCACGAACTTTTGCATATTTGTTTTAGCTCGTCAAAGAATGTTTATTGAAAGAAAACTTATATGTCAAGAAGTCAGTGGGATTCGTATTAATCTTGAGAGTTTTAAGAGTCTGTCGGCAATGATCCTTTTAGCTATCACTAGTGCGCAACCTGAGGTTGAAAACCTATTGTGTTTATTGACACATTCTTATTCCTGCACTTCTAGTTAAGTCGACAATGCTTATGAGTTCTATGTTTTTCATTTAACTACAAAAGAAAAGTGTGTTGGTCAGTGAAGGTACACTAATCAATACGAGTGAGATGCTAACAGGATCGAAAGCACTAGTGGGCTTTGAGCTTCCAGAAAGCAAGAAATGAAGAATAGCGAAGTTCAATCCATGAAGGATACCTAAATATGATTTTGGTTTGTCCCAAACCTTGTCTTATGACTGTAGGTTGAAAATGAAAGTTCTACATGGATGGGAACATATACACCTTCGAATCTAGGTGGTAAAAGGTCTATCTCTAATTCATGAAAATGGTTATGAGAAAACACTTTCGCTAGTAGATTTTAAGGATCTGATAAAGATCAATACAAATATTATCTGTATTGATTTCATTCTCAAATTTAAAATATGATTATGACACCCCTCTTCATATTTTGAATTGTGAGGAATGGAAAGGTATTGTTTAAACTTTCAGGAGATATTTTTATCACGTCTTGAAAGGATTTGAACACATACACTATCCAGATAAAGTGAATAAGCTTAAGAAGCCTAATTAGAGTCTTGATGAAGCATCACGAAATAAGAATTTACAATCCCATGAGAAAGTCAAAAGGTATTGATTTCTAGAAGTCTGGTTGATTGTGACATCCCCTAATTTCTCGGCCAGAAAAGACCTATTTAATTTATGCTTTTTAAAGTAAAGTCAGAGAAATCTTTTTAAAAGATGTTGCGGCATTGGTCCCCAAAACAAAACATGATAAAAAGTTTGTCAAAACCTTTCTTTAAGAAATATATAATTTCATTTCATATCAAAACCTCGGGATGTCATTTTCCGATATAGATCAAAAGCATAAACAATACATTATAAGCCTTTCAACAGTTATTTACAACTACTGGCCTATAATCCAAAATTCTCTTATCATCCTCCGACTATGCTCGGGGTCCATTACCTGTAACATAAAAAGCTGAGTGGGTCAGGCTTGGGAGCCTGGTGAGTATATAGGGTTTTCAACCCACAATAATAATAAACTTATTAAGTTCATCAATCAACAATAATCCTGATTACCCATTCCTGTTATCCTCACTTTACGTCCCTAAACACCTATCACAAGGGACCTAGCCTAAGGATTTTCATCGGGGCGACAACACTGCTTTGGGGGTTTCCAGACAATTTATGTCAAATAAGGCAACCATTTGGGGGATGGAGTACAACAAATGAACACCCAAGCTCATTAACACCTACAGGTTGCGAGCCTGCCAGCGTTCCACTGGACTGTCTAGAAAAGTCTGTGGTCGTCATCCATACTCCGCTATATGACTGGATCACAATCACGTCGAGGCCTCTCATCATTTTATTTCATCACACATCAACTATCTACCCATGTTTTACCCAACATATTTGTAGATAAAAATACATATACAGTTTAAAACTTGTATAAAACATCTATTCAACAGTCACCTCAATTAAAAAATTAATATAATTACACGTAGCACGTATTTTATAGAAAATACTTCATATCTAGGTGTAAGATGAAGGTTACTATACACTCACATGATTTACTGATAATCGGGCAGCACTTCGTTTCCTAAAACGATCGTTTCTAATAAAACCGAGAGTTTTATTGAGAAACCGGGCTCTGCGAAGGTTGGGCTTCGAAACCGAAAAGATAAATTTCTCGGGCTTCTCGGGCACTTCGGGGCGTATTTCAGGTGTTTGGTATAATACCGGGGCTTTGGGGGAAGTTGGAATGAATGAAATATTGAAAAAGGGGCTAAAAATGACAAGTTTTCAAAGTATTACCGGGAGGTCTCGCACCCTTCTATTTATAGGGGCGAGGCTCCTGATCCAAGGGCTGAGAAGCCTCCACGCGTCAGCAGATCCAGAGCGAAGTCACGTGGGTTGCGCATGCGAGGGTCTTGCTGGCAGCTTCTAAGTGGACCGAGGTCTAGGGTCCGAGGTGGGGGGTTCGTGGCACTTGGTGCGAAGCTCGGACACGTGAGAAAGGGGCACGCGTCGGATCGCTACTGGACCGCGGCTTCGGATGCGAGGGAAGGCGACACGTCTCGGATGACTC